AGTACAGGCAAGTGCAAAAAAAAAGCGTTCAAAACCCATTGCAAATGTACAGAATATAATAAGAGGATGAAGAGACATACATGAACACAACCCCACCCGACCAATTAGGACCCGAAGCTACAGCATTATCCTGAGGAATGGTTGAGAAAGCGCCAAACGCGACCACCCTAACAAAACATTTGTTACTACACTTTAGAGCTAAGTGAGAGGGCGAACGCGCCTGAGAGATCGGCACCTTGTGCCCCATCCCGTCTGGAAATCAGGATGAAAACTTAATTGTGGGACAGCCTAACCAGATCACCTAAGTAGAAAAGGTGGGGTAGGTGCTATACAACTGGTTGTGAGGTATGATTATGATCAACGGGAATGCCATTATCCTGTAACATTTTCCTCAACCGTTGATTCTCCTTTAGCATTCTGGACATGTTCTCTTGATAAACTTCTGCATTCTTCTCCTTGTCCAATATCTCTCTCGTCATCTAAAAAGGGTCGACGAACTGCATGGGTTAAGAATACAAATGCATATATATGAAAAGTTCTGAGGAGCTATGACAAGCTTAATTCTACTAATGAAACATAAACAACTGTACCTCGTCCTTGCTTAGCCTAGAAAGACGATCCATTGTGTACTCTTCGAACTCAGCCTCAAATTCCCGATCCATTTCCTTGTCCGTTTCACTATCTCCGCTTGAGGAAGCCCCTTCGCTTGCTGCCATAAACTCGCTTGAAACGCTGATAGACCTGACACGCCGTCGTTCGCTTGCTTCATACGCCAATTCTACCTGCAAAAAGCACTTGGAATCAATTAATAACATATCAGATCTAGGCATAACAATGCTTAGTACAAACTTCTAATCCCTGTTCAGCTCGTGCTTCCCTATCCTCCAACAGAAACTGAGTAGTGTTGCTCGGAGCCATAGGCTTTCCGCTGGCCATGCTGCAAAAAACTCAGTAGATTTGGCTCTTGAAGGTACGGCTAACTGTGATGAGTTAGATCCGAGTGTTTTCACAATGGACCAAGCCTTGGAGAAGAAAGAAAA